CCGGCCTCCTTTTTTTTTTTCTTCCCTTGTATTTAGAAACCTGCCAAAAGCAATAGTTACGGTTTACGACGGATTAAGGACTTTGTTTTGTTTTAAGCAAACGGCAATCAGAGGACTAAGCCACCTATAGTACATCAAAGAATGAATTTTCACTCTTTCTCTCCACACCATCCTACCCAGTAGGTTCCTGACCTACTGCTGCCAGTGAAGATGCAGTTGAACATCGTTCCAGCTCCACGAGGGGCTCGTCAGGGTGATTAAGATGCTCTTTAGAAATAATCCCCATTTCAAAGATTTTTCTCTCTCAACAGCATACAAATTCAGAGTGAAAGGAAGGTGTTGGAAAGCATACTGAAAACAAAATAGAATACATACCCATCCATTTGATGACTTGCCTTTCTTTCTTGATAGCGTTTTTTTGATTTCCTAAGATGTCACCAATGGGGTAAGTGTCTAAGGGCAGGAGGACATGCCCAGGTATGAAGGGTATGTAAGGCTGTCAAGGATGATGAGAGAAAGAAGGTAACGCCCAAAATATCATCTTGCAAGTTCAATAAATACATTGGAAACTGTGTTACCACATGAAGTTGTATTGGACTGCACACACTTGGCATACACTTCTAGACCAAAGCAGTGTACAAGCCATGCTCCTTTCTCTCACCAGAAGGCAGAATTTAGACAGCTTTCATGGAGGTTTTGTTTTTAGTGGCCGTGTCAACATGAGCAGGTAGCATGGTGTGGTAGTTTGTGTGAATTCCCTGTTGTCCTTTTTCCTGGAGGGATGTTACTTTGATCTACCTCTGATTTGGTCCTGCTTTTTAGCAGTTGGAGAATATGAAGCGTGCTCCAAGCCTGCTCTGGAGCATGAAGCTGGTGGTCAGCAGATTTGCCTTAAAAGCACACTGGCAGTCTGAAGAAACCATGAAGAGAAGGGATAAGGCTTGGCTTGGTCAAAGGAACATCATTATGAGCATCTTAATTCCTAGCTCTTGTAGTTAGTTGAGGCTAGGTCTTATGAAGAATAATCTTTTTGTAGTGGTAATTGCATTATGCTGGTGTGGGAAGTCATGTTTGGGGCAGGAGAGTGATATTTTAGATAATCTGGATGAATTTTGCAAATGTTTTCTAAAATCAAGTGAGAAGCTCTGAATTATAACTTGTTCACACCAGGTTTTCGCAATGAGCAAGAACATGCTGGAATATGGTTATGGCAAGGTAAGTTGTTTTTTGGTTTTGTTTTTTTTTCTTTTGGTGAAATTTTTTTTTGTGAGAAATGGCAGTTGCATAGGCAGTCTTGGTAAGCTAGAAGAGTAACTGGAAGATTAGGTACTTAAATAAAAATCTACTTAGAGGGGAAAGGATCATAGTATAGTGCATTACAAATTTTGAAGGAAAGATGGTGGAAATCAGAGTTGTCAGATTCCAGAACTTGTTAACTTCTGCAGACATGCACTATCTTGTCATCAAAGCAGCATGTTCTTAGATTAACTTGATTTAAAATTGTGTCCTAAATTGTTGCTGCATTGTTTTCTGAGGGTGGACAGAAATTTGTCTGCTTCTTGAGTGAAGTGGAAAATTTCTGGTTTGATTATTTGTAACTGCTTTATTTCAAGCAGTACATGCTTGATTAATACGATTTTTTTTTTCCTGAAATAAATCTGATTAAGTTTCACATGAGGAACTTTTTGCTAGCCTTTTTCCTTCTTTTCCCAGGTTACAAAAGAAGCCCATCCAGCATTCATTCATGACTCAAATGCCCATGGGTTAAGAATCTGGACCTTTTAGCTCAGTCTCTTCCTTACCAAATACGTTTTCACTTGCCAGCTTTTTCTTTTCAGTATCTATCACATCATGTCTAATATTTGGGACAAAGTAGAGTGATTTTTTTCACCCTACAAAGACTGTCTCTTTCCTCGTTCTCAAAGCCACTACAGGGCAGGGGAAGACATCCTGGCTCTCAAAGTTGTCCTTAATTCTGAGCAAAGCCTGACTGACTAGTGACATTTTCTCCCAACACATTTGCTTCACTGTGGTGTACTTTAAATAGTGAAATTTTAGAAAACCATTCTGTATAATGGCATGCTTATTTTCTGTTCCTTTGGGTTCTTCTTTTGAAACATGTTCAAGCTTGTAAGGGCAATTTATGAACTGTCCTTCCTGTAGAAGCACCATAGATCTTTTTCTAGTCATGTGTCATTGGAAATACTAAAGGTTTAAGTCAAATTGTGTCTTATGGATTGCTTTTGATTTATGCTCTCTGACACTTAGCCAACACTATTATTTTCACTGCGTTTGGGGAATTATAAGTGACAGAAATTTAATAAAAAAATTTTACTAGTGATTCTTAAGAAGAGAATTCATCACACAGTTGTTCTCACACTGGAAATATTTTATGCCAGAAACAAGATAAACAAATACAATGGGTTTTTTTCTGTTGAGGTTTTTTTTTGGGTTTTTTGGTGTTTTGGTTTTTTTTTAATTCAAGTAGGAAGTTGTTATTCAAAATACATTAGGAACACATCTGTTCAGATAAAAGATGCCACATTTGCTTTCCTACTTTGGAATAGGAACTTTCCAGCTGCAGTAGTTCTTGTTTCCGTATCCAAGCACACAATAAATTTTTAACGCATGATTGAGAAATAGTAATCTTTTTTTACCCCAAACTGAAAAAGCATAACCTGACTATGAAAAATGGGGGACAGAGATTAAAACGTAGCCTATTCTTAAAAGCTTTAAATGTTATCTTAAAATACACCTTCATGGTTAAGATTTGAAGTACGAGGACTTTTAAGAGCCAAGAACAAATAGCAAAACCAGAAATACTGTCTTTCCACTGATGCATATCTATTCTTATGATGATTATGAGAGAACTGACCTTAAATAAGGTATTGTTTCATGCCTAAATAGTATCCGTACGTTTGTTGTACCTAAGACCAAATACCTCCATGATTTTCTTTTTTTGTTGTTGTTGTTTTTTTGAGAGATGTTACCTAGGCACTGATAAGAGGACTGGTGGTTGTAGGTGGTGAACACCTATTTGTAGGCAGAATGCAAAATGGAGTGAAAGAAGCAGCGTGCTCACGGTAGCCCATCCCAGGATATGCTGGGGCTGTGGCAATATCCCCATGAGAAACTTCCATTAAAAAAAATTACTTTTTCTTTGTTTCAGAATAAGAGAACTGGTGCTGAACTGGGAAGTTTAAGGGCTGATATCTCACAGCTTTATGTAGTTACCAAGAACGGTAACTAGTTACGTGGAACTGGAGCTTTATTGCAAAAGAGGATTTTTTCATTGGTCTGTACAATTCTTCTGCCCACTGCACATGACAAGTGTTTTAATCTGAATTTCTACAAAATGTTTCTAGAAGTGTTAGCTTTAAGCTTTATTTCGCACTGAGCCAGCTGGCTTCATAGAAACTTTAAACTATTCGACTTTAGTGTCAGAATTCCCATTTAAAACAAGACAAAAAGCTTCTGTAAGTTGATATATCAACTTGTTTAGTTGGTTACAGTATAAAAACTTAATCTGACTGTCATTGAAAGTTGTGGTTTACATCATTATTTCATGAATCATGCTAAGTTTTCCCCAAGTAAGCATAAAGAAAACCAGAAGGATCCTACACCATTCCTGTTTTCCAGCTGATAAAGTGTCACTGTATGAATTTATACTTTTGTAGGTATCTTTGCTTTTTGAAGAGATAAAAATATTGTGGAGCACTGCAAAGTAAAAACAAAACAGTTCATACACCATCAGTGTCTTTGTTAGCAGCTCCTGCAGCTCATGGATTAAGTGATCACCAGTTTTGGTGCTATCTATATGTCAGTGCCAGGAATGCAACTAATGGAAAATGTGCATGTGCTAATGTTTGTTTGTTTGTTTTTCTTTTGAAATTGCACAAACAGTTAATCTACATTGTATAATTTATATTGGTTGCACTTACTGTATTAACATTTTAAATAAAACTTTTTCCTCATACAGTGGTTTCTGTCCATGTGTAATGAAACATCGCTTGCCACATCCAACTCTTCAGAAATAAAGCATGACTCCAGGCCAGCAGTTATGTGCCTGTTCTGCTCCATGGAGCGAAAGCTACCAGATGTTTAATAGATATCTGGTCCCATCATCCATAGACGTCTGTGTCCTACAAGGCTCTGCTGATTGCACAT